GGTTTGGACCTGGTACGGACCTTGACAAGTGGATATAAAAATTATGGACCTGGTTTGGACCGGATTCGGACCTGGTTTGGACCTGGTACGGACCAGGTTTGGACCTGGTTTGGACCGGGTTCGGACCTGGTTTGGACCTGCTATGGACCTGGTTTCGACCTGGTTTGGACCTGGTACGGACCTGGTACGGACCTGGTACGGACCTGGTATGGACCTGGTTTGGACCTGGTGCGGACCTGGTATGGACCTGGTTTTAACAGGTTATAGCAAGTAAAGGAACCTGTGGTATGGACCTGTTTTATACCTGGTACGGACCGGGTACAGACCTGGTATGGACCTGGTTTTAACAGGTTATAGCAAGTAAAAGAACCTGTTTTATCTAGAGAGTACAAGCCTGGGTTTAGCTGGATGGAAGAGGACAGACCAGGTGTAATATGTGGAGAGTATAAACCTGGTTTTAACTGGACATGCCGAGGACAATAAACTGGGTTTTAAGTTTCAACTGCACATTACGACTACAAAAACTTGCTTTTAACCGGAGTTAATAAGAGTATAATAAACCTGGGATTCGATGGATGTAGCAACACGGATATAAACCTGGTTCTCACTGGATGTAACGAGTACGGACCTGTTTTTTTTAAGAGGAGGATCTAACGAGCACAAAACTGGACAAACTATTTACCAACCTACTTTTAAGTTTTAACTTTTAAGTTTTATCGCAACATAACATATAAACTTTTGGAATAGTACCGGGATGTATGTCGTAAACCGGGTTGTAACAGCATATAGGACAAGTGAATGACACTGGTTATTCTTAACTGAGGTAACAAGGAAATAGACGGGTAAACCAAGTTTTAACTGGTCTATTTCCTTAACTGAGGTAACAAGGAAATAGACCCTGGTTATTCTTAACTGAGGTAACAAGGAAATAGATGGGTAAACCAAGTTTTCACTGGTCTATTTCCTTAACTGAGGTAACAAGGAAAAGACCCTGGTTATTCTTAACTGAGGTAACATGGAAATAGACCTAGTCATGACAGCGTGGAACAGTGAAAACCTGCGTGGTTTTAAACTTGCCAGAACAGGTACGACGTTACGGACCTGCTTTTGCCCCGGGGGGTGTAATGGGTATAAAGTTACTATAAACCTGGTTGAACTGGATGCAACGAGTAAATGAACCTGGCTTTGACGGTGTGGAACGAGAAAGTAAACCTGGTTTATTTTTATTTTTATTTTTTTATTATTATTATTTTTTGAATAGCAGCAGCACGGAACAAGTAAAAATGGACCTGTCTTTTTTTTTTTTTTTTTTTTTTTTTTTTTTTTTTTTTTTTTTTTTTTTTCCAACTGTAGGGAACCAGGAAATAAACCTGACTTCAACGTTGAACGAGACATAACGAATACAAGCTGCTTTGTAACAGGGAAATAAACCTAGCTTCAACCGTACTTAACTGAGTTCGTCGAAACTGGTTTTAGGTTTTTATTTTAATCTCGCATAATGAGTCAAAAGTAGCCTGGTTTTAACTTTTACCTGGGTTAAGTATTATGTATGTGTATTGTAAAAGTTAATCTACATACAACAAAGTTAATCTAACATCTTGGAATCAGGTGTGAAACAGTCCATCCTCTTCTACTCTCTTTTACACTTCCATGGAGCAATCATTAGGGATGGATCGACGATTCGACGATTCGACGATTCAACCATCTTCTCCCTTGTCGACAACGGATGGACACCTGATTGATTGATTACCTTGCTTCGTCACTGGCGCGGGTTCATCGACTCGGATATCTTTACCGACTCTCTCAGTGAAATTCTGCCAGTGGGCTATCTTCCCTTCTCTCTCTCTCTCTCTCTCTCTCTCTCTCTCTCTCTCTCTCTCTCTCTCTCTCTCTCTCTCTCTCTCTCTCTCTCTCTCTCTCTCTCAAGGGTCGACACGACGACTTCAAGAGTATGGCCGACATGCGATTCTGAAAGAGAGCGATGCATTCTTCTTGTTCGGTAAACGGAATTCAATGCGGATTGCTTCTCAAGGTTTCTGATCCACATGCGGAGGAGGAGGAGGAGTCAGCGTCTTCACATGTGGATGGAGGGTGTGCCGTTCGATAGCTGCATCCTTCCCGTCTGGTCAAGCGTTTCCGTTTCGAGATTTGAGATCGACAGTCGAAGGAGGGATCGATACGACGGAGCAGCTTGTATCGAGTCTATCGATGCCACAGCTGCATTTTTCCAACTGGCGGATGTGCAAACAAAGGGTTGGTGTCTGTATGTGACCGCTGCCTTGTGTATGTGACCGCTGTCTTGTGCCGTAGCAATTGTGCACTCTTGTCTGTACGTCATGCTCAGGTACAGACGGAAGCTATCCCTGCATGCACACACACACATGCGCATCCTTCCTTGCCTTTGTTGGTTAGGCCGGCTACTCTTAACTGTTCTCTCTCCTGTCTGTATCTGGTCTCCATGGATGTCTTGATTCTTTGAAGATCTCAGTGCAGCCGAGTTGCGGCCCAAGTGTGTGGTGTGGTGTGGTGGTGTGCACACAAAGATTGGTGTGCTTCTTACCCTGAAAAATAAAATAAAATGCATCGATTAAAAAAAAAAAAAAA